TATTTATTTATTTTTTTTTGTGTGTGGGGCTATAGACCAAAAACCTAAAATGATACTTTCTGGGAGCCTGCAGGAATTTTATTTGTCAAAACACAATAAAAACAAATAAATAAAAAAGGATTGACACAAAGGGGACTGAACCATAGAGAAGCATCTACTTGAAACAATGAGAGATGTCACACCAGGGATTCAGCGACAGCTTATGGGGGGAGTTTTCAAACTCTCTCAAGAACACGTGGGTGACTGACATGAATAATTACCAGCTTATTTCAGCTACTAAAACATTTTAAACAATCTCTGACTGTTTTCCTCCATCGCCTCTTTCTGGTAAAAGTCATCAACCCTCTGTATTTTCACATTTGGTGTTAAAATTTCAATTTTCGCCGTGCGTTTTGGTCTTTCTTCGTCACTACCTGTCGCACGGCACACACATGCCGACTCATTTGCACGCAGCCTAATTGTCGTGTGCACTTTTGTTTGTGTTTTTGCACGTATGTCTGCTTATCAGCCGCCTGACAGTGACGTCTGTATCGCTGCATATTTTGCGTTTCGGGTGACATCATCCTGCCCATGCGCCTAACAATAGACTCCTAATTAGCTGTGTTTATCTTCTGCTCCTTCTGTTTTTTTATTTAAATTTTTTTTTTGTTTTGTTTTTTTTTGCTCAGCTCCTCCTTAATTCTCCCTCCGTTCGGTGTTGAGTCGCTGTGGGAAGGCGTTCTAAATTTACACACGGAGCGGCACAGGAAAGCACGGCGCTTTCAGTTTGGAGTTTGAAGAAGCTCTGAAAGTGCAGAAACCAAAGGTGGAATCTGATCATAAAAGGAAGAATAAAAGGTTAAAGAAAATATATTTTAACTTGTGCACTGTTTGCAGGTAGGAAAAGGCACCAAGGGAGAAAACAGAGGGGGTGGAAACAGATTAAGTTTCCTCCCCTTTCATCTGGGAGCACCTTTGCGACCTACTTTCTCTCYGTCTGCTTTGTGACAAACATTTTCACCTACACACACACACGCACACACATATACACAAAAACCTCCAGGCATGGCATTTCACTTTGGCATTTCATTCACTCTACCCTTTGCGGCGGTTCCCACTGGANACACACACGCACACACATATACACAAAAACCTCCAGGCATGGCATTTCACTTTGGCATTTCATTCACTCTACCCTTTGCGGCGGTTCCCACTGGACAGCACCATGTCAATCAGAACAACAAAAAATAAAATAAAAAAAGGGAGGGGAAAAAAAAAAACAACAAACACTAAATGCGGTGCAGAGGAAAGATGTGTGAAACCTCCTGCGGGAAGAACAAACATAAAAGAGAAGAGAAAAGAAAGTTTGTGAGAATTTTATCTCCGCTTCTGAAATCAGTCGTGGAATGATCACGTCGCTGTGTGAGAGGTTAAAACAACRTTGCGCTCTAACGTGATTATTGTATGGGACGGGAGGGGTGTGTTCAAGTGTGACTTGTTTATGTGCGATCAGTATCCAGTATGATGTGACGTCAGGGTGGTCTCAGTGATCTTTGCAAAGGCAAAACTAGTTACAACTCAGTGGGTTACAGATAACGAGATCAAATTTGGAGTGAAAGTAGCTGAAGGATATTCCCAACATATATTCTGAGCTTAGAAAAATTGCACAAAATCTAAGAWGGGGGGTCTCTGCAGTCACTCAGAGGGAGTTTCTTTGTTTGTGAGAGGTGTTTGTCCAAGATGTGATTGGTGTGTTTGACTTTAGGGGGAGGAGTTTGTGCAAGGCATGATTGGTCGGATTGACTATTTTGGGTTGGTTGAATGAACACAGGGCAACTGGTGGGAAGTGTAGCTCGATCAAAATGGCCAGAAGGCATCTATATTTTTAAATATAAATATTAATTTTAGTCCTAACTCGAGACAGGAAGTGCCTGCACATGTGGAGGGTTGTTTAACAATTTGACTAATCTGTCTGGAAAAAGATTGCTGTATTTAAATATAAATAATTTTAGTCATACTTTGAGACAGGAAGGTGTTAGTCACCAAATTAGAAGTCAATACATCGTATTTACGTGTTCACAGTAATTTTAGTACTACTATTCATCTTTTCACTTGCTCCACAAGACAAGTCAATCGGACCAATCACGATTTTGAGAAACTCCACCCACACCAGGAACTCCACCAACCATGGTTAGGACAAACTCTACCCACACAGTCAAGTAACTCCACAAATGTACTGCAGAGACCACAACTTGTAAAATCTTGCAATAACGTGAAATTGTGAATAATGTTATTTTCTTTTTTAGCCACTTCAGTGGAAAGCAGTACTGAATATTATTAGTTTCTTCATCATCAGTGAGTTTTTTGTAATTCATTAATTTTTTTTTTAATTTTTTAAGAAGAAAAAGCAAGAGGAGAAAAAAAATGACACGTAATAGGAAAGAGTGAAAGAGAGATTAGAAGATATGTGAAATATATATTGAGAAAACACAAGACAACACACCCGACATCTTGGCTGCACACCTATATAAACAGAGATAACAAAAACACAGCAACAAAAAAGGCATATGTATAAAATAATAATGAATATAACCTTGCCGAAAGATATACTTATATCCATATATATATAAACATACCCATACCTACACACACGCACACACATATACACAAAAACCTCCA